AAAAAAAAAAATAGAGTCAACCGTAATGAGGCGGATGCAGTAAAGCTTTCAGCGCCTTCATTTAATGATGGGGCGTGACTCAGTACTATAAACAGCCATTAATAACTGGTACATGGAATGCATTAAATATGACCCCAGGAAAACAGGGAGCCATCAAAAATTTAAATGAATACACAACCATTGATATCCTAGGCATTGGTCAGTTGCAATGGCCTGTATTGGCCATTGTGAATCAGAAACTCATGTGGTATACAGTATGAGGCACCACAAAGTCAAGAGATAAGGTGTCACATTCATGGTCCAAAAAAAAATCAAGATCTGTCTTGAAGCACAATGCTGTCTGATGACACCTATACACCTACAAATGAGTCCAGTTAATTCAACTACTATTCAAATTTATACATCAACAACTAAAGCTAGTGATGGAGAAACTGAATAATTCTACCAACTTCTTCAGTCTCAAATTGATCAAATATGCAATCCAGATGAATGGATAATTATCGGTTATTGGAATACAAAAGTTGGCAACATGAAAGAACAGTAGTTGATAAACATGGCCTTAGTGGCAGAAACAAAGATGGAGATCACATGATGCAATTTTGCAAAACTAATGACTTCTTCAATGCAAAGGCCTTTTTTAAACCACACAAACAGTGACATGAACTCACCAGATAGAATACACAGGAGTCAAATCGGTTACACCTATAGAAAGAGATGATAGAAAAGCTCATTATCAGCAGCCAAATGAGACCAGGAGCTCTCTGTGGAATAGACCATCAATTGCTCATATGTGAACTCATTTTGAAGTTCAAGAAAATTTAAACAAGTCCAAAAGGGCTAAAATACAACATCAAATATATCCCACTTGAATTTTGAGAACAGGAGTAGATTTGTTGCCTTGAACACTAAGGACAGAAGATCTGGTGGACCATGGAATAATATCAAGAACATAATACCCGAGGAAAGCAAAAAGTCGTTAAGAAGACAAGAAAGAAAGAAAAGCTGAAAGTGGATATCAGAAGAGACTTGAATTTTGTCTTGATCACTAAGTAGCTAACGCAAATGGAAGAAATGATGAAGTGAAAAACTGAACAGAAAATATCAGACATAAAGCTCTAGTCCATAAGTATTACAATGAAATATGCAAATGTCTGGAGTTAGAAAGTCAAAAAGAAAGAGCACACAAGCTTCAAGTTTCAATATTGAAGGAGTCTATGGATAAAACATTGACTGGTGCAGGAACCATCAAAAGCAGATGTAAGAAATACACAGTCACTTACAAAAAAATATTGGCAGCAATCCATCATTTCAAGAGGTAGCGTATAACCCAGAACCGATGGTCTTGTAGGAAGAAGTCCAAGCTGCACTTAAAGTATTAGCAAAAAATGAAACAACTCACAGTTAGAACCATTTCTGACTCATAGAAGCCCTATAGGATAGGGTAGAACTTACCTTATGGATTTCTAAGACCGTCCCTTATGGATTTCTAAGACTGTAATTCTTTACTGGAGCGAAAAGCCTTGTCTTTCTCACTCAAAATAACTAGTGGTTTTGAACTTATCAGCCCAGTGCATAATCACTAAGCCACCAGTGCTACTAGCAAAAACAAGGACCAGGAATTGATGGAATACCAGTGGAAATGTTTAAACAAACTGAGGAAACACTGGAAGCACTCATATGCCTATGCCAATCTCTGTGCTGAGCAATGATCCAAGAAACTAAACTCTATGAAGAAAGTGATATCAGGATTGGATGGAGGCTGTGATAAGCAGATCACACAAACTTGCTTCCTGAAAGTGAAGACTTGAAGTGCTTGCTGATGAAGAAGCCCCCAGCAGCTTGTCATCTGACTTGCACATCTTGGATTAGTTTGCCTATCTAGTCACAAGCCTGAGCTTCGGACTGAACTCATCACCGCTGAACCCAGTGATGTATCTGCCAATCTTGGGTTCAGCAGCTCTTCAAGTTACGTGAGTTGGAAAAAATTGACAATTTTATATCCTTTCTATCCACAAACTTGAACCCAAACTACACTTACCAGCTTTGACAACTGTGTGAGTCATTTTACTGATATGGGATTTTCTCTTTGTCTGTATGTATATAGAGATAAACAACTGTGTCTATGCATTGCTGGTTTTGCTTCTCTGGAGAACCCAGCCAAACAAAAGGACTAAATTTCATCTGAACCAAGTCAAATATTTAAAATCACCTCTATACAGGTGAAATTTAGACAGTGAATAGGAAGACCACAGGGGAATGGATACATTTGAATCATGGTGTTGAAGAATATCGAAATACCATGGTATTCCAGGAGAATAAACACATCTGTCTTGGAAGTACAGCCAGAATGCTTCTTGGAAGCAAGAATGGCAAGACTGTCTCACATACTTTGGGCATAGTATCAGAAAGGTTCAGTCCCTGGAAAATCACATCATGTTTGGTAACATGGAAGATCACGGAAAAACAGTAAGATTCTGAACAAGGTAGACTGACATAGTGTCTGTGATAATGGGATTGAGAATCATAATTTCAAGGATGGCACAAAATTTGGCAGCGTGTTATTTTGTTGTAAGAGGTCTTATGATTCAGATCTAATTCTTTGAAACCTACCAATAACAACAACCACTTCCACATTCTGTAGGGCCACATTTCCTTTGAATAGGTACATATAACAGATCTCTTACAGTCAGTTGGCCAGTTAGCTGCCTTCCAAATACCTTGGCAGTAACTTGTGAGGGTTTCTAGTGCTTCATTAGCATATTGAAACATTTAAATAGGTACTTGACTAATTCAATTATTTTTTTATAATTGTTCAGTGCAGCTGGACTTCGTTCAATACCATTGTTTTTTATCATATGCTAAATTGAAATGGTTGAATGTCAATTTATACATTTGTTGGGTATAAATTGTTTCTGGGTTTTTTTTTTCTGAAGGTAATAATGTATTTTATGCTCCTCTGAATTTGCAATCCACCTGCATCTTATTTTTATGTAGCATCTATTAAATATGCTTTTGCCATGAAATATTATACTAACATATGTTCCTTTAATTTTATTTTTAGAGATAGAATGTTCTGTTCCACTTTTTAATGAAAATATAAATGTCTCCCCAAAAAAAGAACGTTATAAAGCCGGAGATGTGTTGAAATTTACCTGCAGAAGAGGATTTACAAGAGTTGGGCCAGATTCAATTCAGTGCTACCAATTTGGGTGGTCACCCAGTATTCCAACGTGCAAAGGTCAATATTTATTTTAGAACTCATGGACTAAAAATTAGATTTTTGTAATACTATCTGTATATTTTACTGGAATATGTGTTACCTTAATATGATGATCAAAAAGTAGTACATGAGAAGAAGGAAGGCTATAGCGCCACAGTAATTAATGGCATAAATAGTTCAAGTCTCCTTAATTGAGGAGTAAATTACATCTGTGTTTTGAAATATACAGAGGGATTTTAATAGCGCTAACTGATGTAGCTGGGATTGAGCAGATTTAGTACTTTTCCTTAATATAAAAAATCAGGCTTTGAAAATCTAAATATATGAAATAAGAAAATAATCAAGTCATCATGCACATCAATCATTCATATGAATAATAATTGGTTACTTGCTTCAATGAACATTTTCCTCAAAAGTGTAAACATCTTTATGGGCACAATTAATATCTAAACAGCCAGTGAAATATTTCAGGGCACAATTAATATATAAACAGCCAGTGGAGCCCATCAAAATATCTGAATATAAAGAGGATATAAAATTATACAATGAGGTAACTGGAAATTTGGTGAAAAATAGTAAGGTGTTTTGCATGTGTCAGTAATTCCTTATTCACTAGATATGCATTCTGAAGAATTTAGAAATAATATTGCACTATGCATGTCATTTCCTTTACGTCACAAAAATAATAGGACAAAGCAAATAGGGCAAAATGTCAATAATTCCAATATCTAAGACATCAGTATATAAAAGTACTATGCATTCTTTCTCTTTTGTTCAAAATTGTTCTTAATAAACTATTTAAGTCTTGAGGGGAAAAGCACACTGTAAAAATATACCTTAAAAAAATGGACTTGTGGTATCTATGTAATTGTTTCTCAGTAGACCAAAATAGTAATTCCACATTTTTCTAGTTTACAGTAAGATTATTTCACTATTATTTATACAGTGTCTCTCCACAGAGCAAGTGAAACCTTGTGGTCCAACTCCTCACCTCCTCAATGGTAAAATTAAGGATATATGGAAAGAAGAGTATCAACATAGTGAAGTGGTGGAATATGATTGTGATCCTAATTTTCAAATGAAAGGACCTAAAAAAATACAATGTATGGATGGAGAATGGACAACTTTGCCCATTTGTGTTGGTAACTAGATACCATTTAAAGCAGACTTGCTTTCACTTTGCACTTATATGTAAACTTATACATAAATAAATTTAAACTGTATCAAAAGATAAACATATTTTTTATTTTATTTACCCAGAAAACTTGAAAACATGTGGATACCTACCAACACTGGAACATGGCTATGTCCAAACCACTTCCCATGTTTACCATCATGGACACTCAGTGGAGACAGAGTGCCAAAGTTCATATACAATGATTGGAAATAACATAATTACCTGCATTAATGGAATATGGACCCAGCTTCCTACCTGTATTGGTGAGTTTTATATTTTATGATTTTCAGTATTATATATACATGGTTATGCCAGCACATACCATTGGTCTTTAGGCCCTACATCTTTTCCTTAGTTACCCTCGTTTAGCCCCAACTCATGGTGCTCTCATAAGTGAACAAAAACCATGTCCTCTCCTGTACCCTCCTCATGATGACTTGGGGGCCTGGACTATTGTGTCCATTGTTTTTCATTAGCCAAGTTTCTGGAATCGACCATCAGCTCTTCCTTCCTACTCTGTCTTAGTCCTGGAATTTACTAAAGCCTACTAATGTCCATCATCATGGCAATAAGCAAATATCCACTGACACACTAGTGGTGGCAGCACATAAGGTACAGTGGTGGGATAGCTAGCAATATTTTCTTTCAGCTCTAAGGAGTTACCATGCTTAGCTGAAATATTTGGTCATCTTCTCTGCCTCCTTCTCCTCCTCATTCTCTTCTTCCACC